GGCAAGACTTGTTGTCAAAGGTTATAGACAAAAGGAAGGCCTTGATTACTTTGACACATATTCTCCAGTAACAAGGATAACATCTATTAGGGTGTTAGTTGCACTAGCGCTCGTATATGGTCTTGAAATCCATCAAATGAACGTTAAAACAACTTTCTTAAATGGAGAATTGGAGGAAGAGATTTACATGGAACAACCTAAGGGTTTTGTGGTTCCTGATAAAGAAAAGAAAGTGTGAAAACTTGATAAGTTGCTTTATGCACTTAAAAAAGTCACCCAAACAATGGCATGCGAAATTTGACCAAACAATGTTGGTAAGTGGATTTAAAATCAACGAGTGTGACAAATGTGTTTACATTAAAAACACTCCAGGTCATGAAGTCATTGTTTGATTATATGTTGATGACATATTAATAATGAGCAAAAGTATGGCAGATATAACTGCTACTAAGCGCATGTTGGCTAGTAATTCGGCATGAAAGACATAGGAGTTGCTGATGTGATCTTAGGAATCAGAATTCACAAGACTCCACAAGGTCTAGCATTATCACAGTCTCACAACATTGAAAAGGTACTTGACAAGTTCAAGTATTTGGATTTCAAAATTGCCAAGACTCTAATTGACGTGAGTTATGCACTTCAAAAGAATAAAGGTAAAAGTGACTCACAACTGGACTATGCAAGAGTATTGGGAAGTTTGATGCATATCATGAATTGTACGCGACCAGATATAGCATGTGTTATTAGCAAACTGAGTCGGTTTACAAGTAATCCCAATCAAATACATTGGCTGGCAATGAAACGAGTTTTGGGGTATCGAAACATACCCAAAATTATTCTTTGCATTATAAAAAAATATCCCTCTGTGATCGAGGGATATAGTGATGCAAATTGGATCACCGGATCATCTGAAGTTAAATCCACGAGTGGATATATTTTCACAATTGGGGGTAGAGCAGTGTCTTGGAAATCATCCAAACAAACGTGCATCGCCCGCTCTACAATAAAATTTGAATTCATAGCTTTGGATAAGGTCGTTGAAGAAGCTGAATGGCTCCGGAATTTCTTGGAAGATATTCCATTTTGGCCCAAACCTTTGGCACCTATTTGTATACATTGTGATAGTCAAGCGGCAATAGGTAGGGTAGGGAGCGTTATGTATAACGGAAAATCTCGTCATATACGACGGAGACACAATATCGTTAGACAACTACTCTCTAGTGGTGTTATCACAATTTACTACGTAAACTCGAGAGATAATGTGTCGGATCCACTTACAAAAGGCCTATCTAGAGAGGCAGTTGAAAGATCATCAAATGGAATGGGGTTAAGGCCCAGGACAAGTGAACATGGCGGTAACTCTACCTAGCAGACTGGAGATCCCAAGAGCTAGGTTCAAAGAGATCAAACAAAGTTATGAATGACGGTTCAACATGGTCAAATAACTCAACCCATTCTCGTGATGAAGACAATGTTCAAAAAACGAGGTAAAGCATTAAGATTTTTTAATGAGTCAATAAAGCTTAAAGCTTTTTAATGATTTGCTAAGTCTGGCAGGATAAGACCAAATAGTGTGTCTTTAGGATTACACGTTTAGGAATCACCTATGTGAGTGTGAAGTGTAAGTCCCGCTTCAAGGGGAATGAAAGTAAAGGCCCATTCTCTAAGCACTCATGAAACCAGGCGGTGTTCATGGCTGAAACGAACACAACCGTGAGAACCATAGAGGATTGATTGTGTGACTTATGTTGTCTAGGTGTACAACAAAGCTCGGCAGTTCAAAGATATCAAATCTACCGATTGACCGAGTATATCCGATATAAGTTGACTACGGAAAGTTTAAAGGGAAACCTACTTATCCAGATGCAATTAATTCTTGCATGTAAAACACACACATGCCCGTGCATTCCTTTAAGTTTATAGCCATTCCCCATTCATGTGGGGAATTGTTGGGTTTCGTTATTAATAACAAAAGAGGTGGGAATGAAAAATAGTGGGAAAAGAAATGGAGGGAAGTAAAATTTTGAATTAGTTCACTTTACTAATGCACTTTGTCCCTCATTGGTAGAAGGAAAGAAAATCTTTTTGTATATATAGAGAAGCTCATCTTTTAGCTCTTAAAGAGTTAAGAAGAAGGCAAGCCTCGCCCCGGCAGCGTCGGCATCGGTGTCGCTCGCTCGGCTCGGCTTCGACTTCGGATTTGGATTTGGATTTGGATTTGGTCAAAGATTGATTGATTAATCTTTTTGGACAAAATTCTTTTTAATTATTTAATTAATTAGCAAAAATTCAATCCGGGATAACCCATGATCCGCGACCCGGTACGGTCCGGTCCGTTTTCTTTCCTGAATTATTTTGAATCCGTTTGTTTTCCCCGCAATTTTTTCCCACCTGTTCCAACAGCTATGGCTGTTATGAAAGGTTGCAAACCTTTTCAGAAACAGTTCCAAACCTGTTCCAACAGCTATGGCTATTCTGAAAGGTTGCAAACCTTTTCAGAAACAGTGCCAAATGGGCTATAAATATTCCTTCAATCCCATAATTTTTACTTACTAAATTTTCTGATTATCTTCTTCTTCTTCTGCACAATATTTTCCGGTGTGTTTTACGACCATTGAGTGGTTCGCCAATTATTAGAGTTTTTGGTACCAATACGCTGGTGAGTTAAATCGTTCTATCCTGGGAGGATATATTCCATAACCTCGAGTACTTGAGGGGAATAATTTTCTTAAGGACACACTGTGTATTTAGTGGGTTCGATTTATTCCTTACTGTTTTTAGAATTTATTTTGACGTTCTAGTTCTACTAACTTTCTGTTTTTTTTTTTCCAGAAAGTTTATTGCTTTATTGATTTTACAGCAATACAGATAGAATAACACTTGTACCATTGAATTTGCCCCAAAAATCCTCCAATATGCACTCCTCTTGTGCAATACAAATTCTATCACAGGAACATCTGGTCCAACGTTTGTACTTCTAATATTTTTTGAACTAAAGCAAGCTCCAAATTGTTTCATCGGAGGCTCTACAATAGTCACATTCTTAGGGAGCGCCTTGATAAAAGCAGTTTTAACAGCATTGTAAATGCTATTGTCCAATATTGTGAAAGGTGTTGTTGTGCTGATTCTCGTCCCACCTAATCCATTCTTTTTGTTAATATATGTGGCACGTCTTTTCCCGCGATACGAATGGATGAAACTTGGAGAAAGTACTCTGAAGATTGCAAATATGCCCTGGAATTTGTGATTAGCTTAGTATAGACAAGATTGTTGGAGATGTCAACCTTGTTAGGATTGTAAACATTATATGGGCCAGAATCAATGAAGTTAACTCCACTAGATCTTGTAGATGAGCTCAAGCAAACACCAAACTTGCTAGAAAATCTAGGGTCTAAATTAGCGAGTTGATTAGGAATGGAAATTGGAATTTGATGTGAAAAACCTGCAGTTCCTGTTATTGAGACATAATATAATTGAGTAAAACAGTATGATAGCTCGAACGGTTTAAAATTTTTTAGATGAGATAGTCAGACAGTATATATATAACGTAATTAATACCTGTAACTCCTTCCGCATGGTCTTTCAAAAAGGAGGACTCAACGCAACTGAAAATAAACTGTGGCCGAGTGACACGAGTGCCAGGCATTGAACCAATGGACGATACATCCTCAGCGACTTCTCCAAACGCATATGCATTAATCATGGGATTTTCAGCTAGAGTATGGCAAGTATTGTTGTTGCATCCGGGCAGCGGTCCTGGTTTGAATACGCAATAGTCTCCACAAGAATCAGGCTCGGCAAAAGAGCAAGCTTTAGAGTTGCAGAGACCTGGTTTGTAAGTTGAGCTATTGTAACCTCTTTCACAATCCCTATTACTGTGATTGGGATTAAAGGATTTCTTTGCCCTACTACTGTAATGTATTGTAGGGTTGATGAGTCTTTGGTTGCGGCCGTGGGTACTACTTTAGCATAGAATAGAGAAATGAGTGAAAGAAATAAAATGAGCAAGAAAGTGTAGTAGGAAGACAAGAAAAGTTTGAATGTCACAATTATGCTAGAGAAAGAAGGCAAACGCTATACTTAGTATGCTAGGTGTTCTACAAAGTTGCTAACTTTATAATGCCCAGTTTGCAAATTCCCACCCCCCCCCCACCCCACACACACACACACCCCACCCCCCAAACACACCTTCTATATTTTATAATAATTCAACTTTAAATTTTCTATTTTGTAATAATTTATAGCCACAAAAATTTGTATACATAATTTGTTTTAGACTATAAATTTCGAAGTATTTTCTTTATTTTTAAGCTCCGTGTTCGGTCATAAACCGGGACAAAGGGAGTGATCTTGGGAGTGAAACTCTATAATGGCTGGCTCCTCATTTCGTATATCACAACTTTGACTTTTTAAATTTAATCACGTGAGTGGCCAACTTGCCTAATTTGAATACAGAAAATATATTATATTTATGCGTTGTCCGGGGAGAGCAGCAAATTAATACTTCCTCCGGTCCAAAATAAGTAATTTTTTGGCTTTTTTCTTGTGGTCCAAAATAAGTGATTTTTCCAGATTTCAAGAATGAATTAATTATTTTTTTCCTACATTATCCTTGGAGTAAATTGTGTTGGAATATGTGTTAGGAGTGTTTATGTGAGATAGTAAAGGTTAATATGGTCAATTTCATTGCTAATTAATGCTAAAAGGTGGATTTATTAATCTGTGTGAAAACATCCAAAAAATCACTTATTTTGGACCGGAGGGAGTAAGTATTAAGCACACATGTTAATTTGAGATTGGCAGGTCATTGATACAAATCGTTGCAGGCTTGCAGAGAGAAGAGCAGCAAACACTGGCTTTGCTGATGAGCTCCCTACAAGAGTTTAAACTAAATAGCCACTTGAACACAAGTCTCACGACCCAAATCCTAATCTGTTGCGATGGCGTCTATCGTGATACTAGACAAGCCAACATTTCCATAATACTACCAATATCAAACAGAAAATGAATCAAGAAATTTTAAATAACTAGAGTTTTCATAAAACGGGGTAAAAACCCAAACATAAGTGCGGAAAATAGCTCCCAGGGTGTCACTGAGCCCATGAGCATCTATACATCACCAGTCTAGAAATAAAATGTCTATAAAAGTCTGGATCTAAAGACAACAAAAGAAAAGATAAGGGAGGAGAGACAAGGACTGTGAACGCCAGGCAGCTACATCGTAATATCCAAAGATCGACCGTGCACGATATCAACGTCCACCGTGTCCGGAAATACTTGGATCTGCACACGAAGTGCAGGGTGTAGCGTGAGTACAACCAACTCAGTAAGTAACAATAATAAATAAGGAACTGAAAGATAGTGACGAGCTACACAGTTATAGTTCATTTTCAGTAATCTCAACAAGAAAGTACACATGCTTTCAAATCCGACAATTAAAGTCAAATCAATTTATACAAGCCAAGTTCAAGCAAAAAACGGATATAATATCTCCCAGAAGTTTCAAAACAGTGACATATAGTAGCTATGTGCAACAACAATGAAACCAAATACAACCTCTGCAACAGTCACACAATCTTTCTCAATAGCTCATCACTCGACTCTTAGCCCTCAACACTCACACTCAATAGGTACATGCACTCACTGGGGGTGTTCAGACTCCGGAGGGGCTCCTTCAGCCCAAGCGTTATATCGCTGCGGCATGTAGCCCGATCCCATAATATATAAATAGCCATAAGGCTCGTTGCGGCGTGCAACCCGATTTATATATTTATACAACCTTAACGCTCGTTGCAGCGTGCAACTCGATCCATATATATACATATAGCTGACAGCTCGACACTCATGCCCTAACTCAACCACCAACCTCTCCAGTCTCTTGGGCTCTCAGAAATCATAAATATCAGCCCAAACGGAGATAATACAATGTATCAACAAGAAACAAGAAGAGACTGTGATATGATACGCAGGTAAAATCGTGACTGAGTAAAAGACAACAATTAGCAAATTAATTCAACAAGTACACGACATCTGCGTGTCCTACAGTGTCAACACATAGCCTAAACATTATTTCTAACATGATTAGCAGTCAAATTTCTATAATACAGGGAGAGCATATGGCTAACAACAAGTTATTCAACTTTACAGTTTCCACGGAATGGACCAAGTCACAATTCCTACGGTGCACGCCCACATGACCGTCACCTAGCATGTGCGTCACCTCCAAACCAATCACATAATACAATGACCCGGGGTTTCATACCCTTAGAACCAGATTTAGAACTGTTACTTACCTCAATTCGAGCAAAACTTTACTCCAATATGCCTTTGCCTCGCGAATCGGCCTCCAAATGTCCTGAATGTAGCCACAAGTAGTACAATACAATCAGTACTGGCTAAAGGAATAAATTCTACAAGAAATTATGAAATTATAGCTCGAAATCCGAAATTGGCTCATACCCGGCTCCCGGGCCCACGTCTCGAAATCTGACAGAAGTTACAAAATCAGGAAGCCCATTCAACCACGAGTCTAACCATACAAATTTTACTCAAATCGGATAACAAAATCTCATTCAAAACCTCAAAATCTAGCCTAAGAACTCTTCCTCTTTTTCCCAATTTTCCGCCACAAATCACAAATTTAATGGTAGAATCAAAGGCATAATCATGGAAATTAATAAAAACTAGGTAGAAATCACTTACCCCAAACACCCACGTGAAAATTCCTCCAAAAATCGCCTTCTACAGAGCTCCCTGTTACACCCCATGTTTTCGTACGTGAAAGTATGCCATAAGTAAATTGATGAAAGCTCGAAAATGAAATGTTACATCCCGCATTTTCGTACGTTAAAGTTTCGTCGTAAGTTAATCGACGTATGCTCGGAAATGAGATTATTTTGAGGTTATAAGTATTATGCTATTTCAAACAAGTGATAAGTAAATTTGTGAAGGTAAGAGGGTAAGCGAATCGAAGAAAATGAGTTTCGTCGAAGGTTGTCATTTTGAGATAAAATACGGTCCAAGATATATAGTATCCCGTATTTATGGACTAGTGCAATACAAGGTACCACATGACCATGATAGCAAGATATATAAAGTGTACTAAAAGTGAGTAGTACTTTAATTAATTTGAAATAATTCTTAATTATGTGGGTAATTAGTTAATTATTGGACTAGTGGGGGATTAATTTTATATATATGTATTAAGAAAATAATGGATAATTAGTGAGGTGGATAAGCATTAACCAAGTGTCAACAAATAGGGACTCAAATAATGACTAGGCAAGTCATGGGATTAGATGGCACATTTAGAGGAATTTGTTGGCCAAATCATACATAAGTGGAGCCACACCCAAAGACTTAAGACTTCTCTAATTCACTTGTCTCTACAAGATAATGAAGAAAGTTTCAAGAGACTTTGGTCCTCTACTTTGGTTTTCTAACGGCTTCAAAATGGTGAAAGGCTAGTTTCTTAAATTGAGTCCAATTCTTGGATAAAAACTGGAGATGTTTTACATCTACCAAGTAACGGATTTTCAGCAAATAATTCGTACGAAGTTATACTACGTAGTAACAATGGGATTAGTAATTCTAAGGGAACTCGATACAATCTTTCTCAAGAATATCATACGGATTTTTTCCTACTTCGATTCGCCGTTACATGTTTTGTCACGTTTGACGTGTGTTGGAAGGATAGTCAAGAGAATCGGCTCAGGTATCTTAAGGCTATCCCTTCTTTCCTTTTGGAATGATCTATACGACACAAACGAAACGAGCAAATACACAACTTCTATAAATGACTATATTCATAGAAGTGTTAGAGGTGCCTATGTTCTTGAATTCCCATGTATCTTATTATTACATCTTTTGTTCATGGGTCTCAGAAAAATACGTAAGTTGAAAAAATTTACTTCATGATATCACTCAAAGGCATAATGGTCTTATGACATTCTGAGAGATTTTAGTGACGTACTTCTCATGCATTGCATTCATTTATACATGTACATTGATCCATGACCAGATGGTGTTATATATGCGTATATATGTATATTATATGTATATGGGATATGGAAAAAAGTTACGGCGTTATATACGCACCACCACCTGATCAGCTGGTATACGTTGATGATTTTGCCCACAGTGACCGACTATGATGGGATGCCCTCAGAGGCTTGATGATGTTATGAACACATGTACCTATGCACGACACGACATTCATACGCATATGCATGATACTATAAGTATTTCATGATTTACAGAGTTATCCAGACTTACAGGTTGAGTCATTTACTTCATGTTTCTTTCATGTCTTGTATATACTTATTTATGTGCCTTACATACTCGGTACATTATTCGTACTAAAGTCCTTTTGTTGGGGACGCTGCATTCACGCCTGCAGGTATAGACAATCAGTTTGATGAGCCCTCATAGTAGACGAGGTTAGGTAAGACTCCACCTCATTCGGAGTGCGGCCGAGTTATGAGTCATCATGTTAGAATTTTGCTATAGACTTATGGGTATGCCGGTACCCTGTCCCATTTGATGTCAAATACACTTAGAGGCATTGTAGATAGAGGTTCATTTTGTACAGTATGTCAGAGGCCTTGACGGCCCTTATGTATTCATGTTTTAAGAATGATGGTTCATTAATATAGTGCTTTCCCACTTATAGTTATACATTACGAGTTGCGGCCATGTTGGCCCTGTTACCAATGATAGTACAATAAGAAAGATATGTTACGTTGGTACTCGGTTGAGTAAGGCACCGGGTGCCCGTCGTGACCCTTCGATTTGGGCCGTGACACTCCCAATTAAATTTTATGATATGAACTCGAAATCCTCGTTTTGAATCTTTTAAATCTGCCCAGCGATGCTTTCATCGCAAACGCGGAAGAATCCTCGCGTTCGCATAGAACAACTTAGACTACCCCTCAAATTTACTCTACGCGAACGTGGTTGCCCTCCCTCAACCGCAGACCTCTGCCTCCTTCAATATATGCGATCACGTCTCACCTCATGCGATCGCGAAGCACAAACATTAGAAACCCAACTGCCCTCCTCATCTCTTCGCGAACGCGACATAGCCCACGCGTTCGCGACTCACAGTCTAGCCACACCTACGCGATCGTGTACCCTCTCTCGCGAACGCATAGGCCAAAATCATCTCTGCTTAAACCAAGCCTGCGCGATTGCGGACTTGCCCACGCGATCGCGTAAGAGGAAACCAGAAATTTACACCAGCAAACCTTAGCCATCAAGCTAAGTCCAAAAATGATCCGTTAACCACCCGAAACTCACCCGAGCCCCCCCTCCCCCTCCCCGGGACCTCAACCTAATATACCATCAAGTCCTAAATTATCATACGAACTTAGTCGAACCCTCAGATCACCTCAAACAATATCAAAAATACGAATTTGCACATGGATTCAAGCCTAATGAACTTTGAAATTTCCAAATTCTACAAACGACGTCAAAACCTTTCAAATCACGCCCGATTGACCTCAAATCTTGGACACAAGTCCCAAATGACACCACGAACATACTCCAACTTTCGGAAATCTAATCTGACCCCGATATCAAAAAGTCCATTCTCGCTCAAACTTTCAAAAATTCCAACTTTTGCTATTTCAAGCCTAATACTACGGACCTCCAAATCACCATTCGGACACACTCTTGAGTCCAGAATCGCCCAACAGAGCTAACGGACCCATCAAAATTAAATTCTAGTGTCGTTTACACATAAGTCAACATCCGGTCAACTTTTCTAACTTAAGCTTTCAATTATGAGACTAAGTGTCTCAATTTAGTTTGAAATCTCTCTGGACCCGAACCACCCAATCCGGTAAGTCATATATCAACTGTAGAGTACAAAAGGAGCAGAAAATTGAGGAACAGGGCTACAACTCTCCAAACAATATAAAGTCTTAGTGAAAAACAACAAAGGCCAAATCAGTATCATAGTCAAGATATCTCGTAAAACTCCAGTTTCAATACAAAATTATATAAAAACATTTTTGTTCAACAATTTTCAATAGAGGCTCAATATAAAAGAAGATGAGTGAAAACGGTAATTTCATAAACAAGCCCCTCGGACGAAGTATCACTCACATATAGACCATCGGGCGAAGTATCACTCGTATATAGCCCCTCGAGCGAAGTATCACTCATATATAGCCCCTCGGGCAAGCCTCTCAGTCACTCGTAACTCAACACTCATCAATCAGCACTCACACTCAACACTCACGCTCAATAGGTACCATATAATAACAGCTGCGGCGTGCAGCCCGATCCATAAATATATAGTCGACTGTGCTCGCTGTAGACTCCGGAGGGGCTCCGATAGCCCAAGCCCTATATCGTTGCGGCGTGCAGCCCGATCCATATATTGCTGCGGCGTGCAACTCGATCCATATATATATATATATATATATATATATATATGCGGCATGCAGCCCCATCCATAATTATATAATCCACACTATCAAGCTCTCAGCCTCTCTCAGTCATCTACCTCACAAGCCACTCGGGCATTTCAGTGAAAATCAAGGAACTCAGCCCAAACAACTTCCATATATTTAAAAATAGAGTAATGAAACTAAATCAAATAAGAAATAAGTAAAAATCATGACTGAGGATATGCTTTCGAATCAAAACGGTGCGAGGATAGTAGTAAAATACCCCTGAGGGTCCAAATAGTACGGCACAAGACCCCAAACATGGCATTCAACCCAAGTTAACAGAAACATTTCTGAAGCACAAAGATATCATATATAGTTTATCAAAATATGCAACTTTATAGTTGCCACGGGACGGACCAAGTCACGATCCCTACTGGTGCATGCCCACACACCCGTCACCTAGCATATGTGTCACCTCATTTATCAAAATAGTACGAAATTTCGGGGTTTTATACCCTCAGGTCTAGATTTACAATAGTTACTTACCTCAAACCGGACGAAAATCTACTCCGCAATGCCCTTGCCGCTCGACTCGGCCTCAAATCGCCCGAATCTATCAAAAATCAGAATCATATTATCAATACATGCTAAAGGGACAAAGCCCATGCGAAAACTATCAAACTAAATAAAAAATCCCAAAATCGGCCAAACCCGACCCCCGGGCCCACATCTCGGAATCCGATAAAAATAACAACACTAGAATCCTTATCCTCTCACGAGTCCATACATACCAAATTTACCAAAATCTAACTTCGTTTGACCTCTCAATCACCCAATTTTTTGAACTCTCAAGTTCTACGCCCTAATTCCCCAATTTTCACCCTTAGATCCTACAAATTCCAAGCTTAATCTACTGAAAATTACCATAGAATTAAGTATTAAGTTCAAAAATCTTACCTCAACGAGTTTCCCCTTGATTCCCTCTTCAAAACCCTCCAAAAGCTCCAAAAATCGAGTTGAAATTGTGAGAATAACCAAAATTCGCGAAGGGTCCTTTATATACTTTCTGCCCAGGCTTTTCGCACCTGCAACCTATTTCTCGCGCCTGCGGACCGCACCTACGGTCAAGGCGCCACACCTGCGAACATCATTAACTCACCGGCTTCCGCACCTGCGCCCCAAGCCTCGCACCTGCGGGCTCGCAGGTGCGGACACATTAGAACAGCAGCTTCAGCTGCAAAATCCCACTTCCAACTTCTCCGATAGCCATCCGAAATCATCCCGAGCCCCTCGGAACCTCAACCAAATATACCAACACATCACATATCATAACAAGAACTTAATCAAACCTTCGGAATTCATAACAACATCAAAACACCAAATTACCCTCGGATTCAAGCCTAAAAACTTCTAAACTTCCAAATTCCGCTAGCGATGCCGAAACATACCAAACCTCATCCGAATGATCTGAAATTTTGCGCGCACATCCCAAACGACACTACGAACCTATTACAACTTCTGAAATTCAATTCCGACCCCGATATCTAATTTCCACTGCCGACCGGAGATCGCCAAATATCTAATTCAAGCCTAATTCTACCACGGACCTCCGAATAACATTCCGAACCCACTCCTAAGTCCCACATAACATAACGAAGCTATTCGAACCATACAAATTCAAATCCGAAAACGAATACTAAAAAGTCAAAAACTTGGTCAAACCTTTCATATTTAAACTTCAAGCTGAGAATCATCCTTCCATATCTGCTCCGATTAACCTAAAAACCAAAACCGATGATTTGCTTAAGTCATAAAACATCATACGGGGCTAATCATGCCCGAGAACTGGTGAGCGAAGTGCAAATGTTTAAAACGACCGGTTGGATCGTTACACCATGTCTTTCAGGCTAGTTTGTAAAGAAGTATTTGTAGTTTCACTTGTTATTGCGTCTGAAAGAGTTGCACATGTTTTATCACGGTGTTCTTCTTTTTTCCATTAACCAAGATATGCAAAGGTCTATTTTTGAATTTCAAAAAACCTAAATAAATTACCGAAAAATGATAACGGAAAGGAACAGGAACAACAGAATCAAACACCTTTTACTATAGAAATAATTCACAACAAATAGAAGTCTATGCATCAAGTACATGTAAATACTTTATAATCAAATGAGTTACATACATACAAGCATCATGAACACATCCAAACATGTAAGATTTGTCGATTCCTTACTACTGTTATTTGGTATTGGAACACACATGAATATTATATATGCACTTAAGCAGACTTAAGACCTCTGATAGGACTCCCAAAACCAATTAACAAAGAAAATATACTTCTTTAAAATATTTAAGAACTGATATGTATCCAGCATGCTCTTAAGAAAGAACTGAGGGTAACTCCTAGCCTTAACAAAGAATCTTACGAGCATGGATCTTAAGCTTATGTGGTTTTCATTATTAAAACAATACTACTTCTTCTATAAAGAAAACCACTACTACTTCATGCAATTTCTTAGGAAGTAAATATAAGGTAACAGATTCCCACAAACATTATTCCTATTCACAGAATCTTATCCAAAGCCGAAGCACGCACTTTACAAAATTCATGTAAATTTTGTTCACACTTAATTGATCATATTGATTCCAAGACTATGCGCCTACGGAAAATTTTACTCATACTCAAGGACCACAAAAGGAATTTCCTAAATATTCACGCTCAACATGCTAAAATACAAACATAATTCATTCTCTTTGGCTGATTTCTGATTTGGTAAAACTATAAATCCTATAGGCACCTAAATTTCCACCAAACCTAAAGTCATTTTTTGAGTCCTGCTCCAGAAGCAGAGCTATGGATCTATAATATATGCCTAACTCGCCAAAAATATTTGAATAATAAATATTATATACTAATATATTAACAAAACAAACGGGTACAATTTCAAGTTTTCTGAGATACCAGAGAAGTCATTGCATTCATAACTGTGCATATCCTAAATGCCAAGGCACAAATAGAAGCATTGCTAAAGATTTCTTCTTTCACCTGCCGCCAACATATATTTTTTGGGCTAATGTCATGAGTTGTAAAAATAAGAACTTACAAATATAAGGGTGTGTAGAGAGTCAATCTAACATGACTAATTTTGTTTTACAAGCACAAGGGCACAAACACACAGCACAGTAAACCTACAACTTAATACAAACGGTAAAAATTACCACTTGCAGGTCAAAACAATATTTTTTTTCTCCCCCACTTGAGAAACTTCCATTTTCGAATCAAATTTCTGTTACAATTTATTCATTTCCTTGAGTAAATATTTAGATCTTCCCCACAAACTTCTGATTTTTTACTTGTTTCACCAATAATTTACTCTCCACGTATTTGAATTTCAAGAAAAAGGGATGAAGACTATTAGTTTCGCAATTCAAAGACGAATCAAGGAAAGAAGAAAACCTAATAAGGGAGACATCTACTACACTGATGCCTAAATTTTTATCCACAAAATTAAACAAAAGAACAAGCAATAAAGTGGTATCTGCAACTTAACCCAGCCACAAAAATTAGAGACAGGGTCACAAATGAAGATACCAAAAAATAAAAAATAAAAAAGTTTCATACTTCCAGAATCATATACCACCAAGCTAACACATTAAGCACAGACTCTAAAATCAAATAAAGTCATACCTTATAATTTAATTTTTAAAGCAGGATTGAAACACATGCAAAACAAAAGCATCCCAATTACATAAAATACAAATTCCCTCAGGCTCACGTCACCAATAGAATGAGGAATTGCTACGCATGTTTTTTTTTTAAGGAAAAAGGAAGATGTAAGGAAACATACAGAAAACCATTTTACAAAACATGTTTTTAGTATATGTCAGTAGTGAAGAACAAATAAGTTACAAAAAATTTCAAACAGACCAAAACAAAAAGATTAAGCAGAGAACCAGAAGATAGAAAACAAAAATTTGAGAGAAAATGAAAGTGGAGAGAAGAGAAAAACTCAACGGTAATCAAAGAGAAGAGGAAGAACAATACAGAGAGAGAAATTAGAAAAATCGAAAAGTCACCAAAAAATTCCGGAAAAATACCGAAATCTGTAGCAAGTATAGATAAAAAATAAAAACTAACCACAAGATTAAAATAAAAAATTTAGTAAAAGAAGACGGGGAGGAGAAGAACATCAACTAACCGGAAAGAGAGAGAAAATGGAAAAAGAACGAAAGAGGATGACCACAGTATTGAAAAGCTGTTGAAGCTCGCAGATTGGGAGGAAGAAGCCAAAGAAAAGAGCAAAAACTAAAGCCACGCGTTGCTCACAATCGGACACGTACTGATCTGGAAGCCTACAAGGCATACAATTAAGAATGGAATAGTGGGGAACAAAGAAGAATGGACTCAGGTAAATACCGAAAATATCCTTTGTCGTCCTTAAAAGTTTCTCTTATTATATAGTTAAAGATCAATGTGTATACAGTCGAAACCGGGTTCGTCTATTATGTGGCCAATCGAGACTAAAACGTGATAAGTTAAAGCTCGATCTCGGGTTATATCGAACAGAGGTACGAAGTTACATCGTTGAGCTCGTGATCCCGGGACCGAATAAGATCGAGACCAAACAAGATCGAGGGAAATATGCTGAGCCGAATAACAGAAGGCCGAAATATCCGCGATCAGTTGAAGATCACGGCGGGAATCTCGGCACGTATCAAGGAGATGCCAGTTAATTAGAAAATCATAAGATTTTTTACCTTGTATAGAATTGTATCAAGAGTAGGACTCCCCTACTATAGAAAGGGGTGGTCTGATCATTTGTAACACACATCATAACATGCAACACAAAGAAATATACTGTCATTTTTAGCTCTTATCATCTCATTATTCTGTCCTAACATCAGTTGAGGCATTTCTTGGTTCAAGGGTGATCGAACTCGAAGGCCAAGGCTTTTCAATTTGTGTGGTTTGCATTTATTCTCTTATCGTCAATTTCAATATTAGTATGTCTTCTTAATTTGCACCAAGTTATATCACGTATCCTTAAAACCGCGTATAAATTCAGTTGTTATCCATTTATTAGGGTAAATAGTTTGGCGCCTACCGTGGGGCTAAGGATAATAGTGGTTACTCAGTACAAACTTTCATAACAGACACTATTTTTCACTTGTTCTTTGAAGTATCTTTGATTGCAGGACCTAAATGTCGAACTCTCAGTCAACACTTCTTCATGTTGACAATGATTTCGGCCACCACGGCGAGAATGATAACATAGCACCGGGGAACGATTTACCCCGATCGATCTCAATGGAGTTCCGGCTATAGATCCAATCAACGTCAGCTCACATGTAGCCATCAATGCAAATTTGGTTTGTCGATCTCGAAGGCAGCGTTCGTAGGGTTGTTCGATCAGCCTCTCAAAGCACATATGGCAACGAAGATGGCGGGAGCAACATGCGGATGATCTTCAAAATGTTGCAGGCTCAATAGGCAGCGACAGCCCGGCTCCAAAACTAGAATCACCCACCGAGCAGGATCGAGCCCGAGCCATCACAGGAAGTTGTCCA